TTCTCCAATCAATACCCAACCCTATTCCCCCACCCATCCGAGTCTTCCTCTGGTCCAAAATACAAAAATATTTCTTCAGCTACCGCAGCCGCTCCGTTGCCGTCATCACCGTCGAAGAGTCCTGGGGTGCCGAACGCAACCTCCTCTACTCCGCCGCCGAAGTTTACCTACCCACCAGGATCTCCCCTGCAAGCTCAATTGGTGTCAAAATGGGAAAAATACGCTCCCAGAAGAACATCTCCGTTGCCTTAGCCGAAGGCGAAGAGATCGTGGACACCTTCAACAATGTCAAAGTTACTTGGCGTTATGTTTGTACTCAGCAAACTGAACAAACCAGAACTTATATTCGTGTCAACTCTTATTCTTCAGGGGAGAGGCATTTTGAGTTATCTTTTGATTCCGAACACAGAGAAGAAATCGCCTCTGCTTATTTACAACATGTCATGACCACAGCGGCGTTATTGGAGCAAGGAGATAAGGAGTTGAAGATAATTAGTTGCAATTACTATGATTTAATGGATGGTGACTCCCAAAGTAACTCCACTTCTTTGCAACATCCTGCTTCTTTTGACACCATCGCCTTGGACCCTGTCCTGAAACAGAGCATCATTGATGATTTGGATCGGTTCTTGGCAAGAAGAGACTATTACAAGAGGATTGGGAAGGCTTGGAAGAGAGGGTATTTGTTGTATGGTCCTCCGGGAACCGGGAAATCAAGTCTGGTTGTGGCCATGGCTAAGCATCTGAAATATGATGTGTATGAGTTGGATCTTGGCAGTATTTATGGCAATTCACGGCTGAGGAATGTTTTCCTAGGCATTCCTAGCAAATCTATCATTGTGATTGAGGATGTCGACTGCTATGAAAAGGCCCAACGTCGATCCAACACAAAAGATGACAACTCTCTTAAATTGCGTTTCCTTAAAAATAAGGTCAGTATCTTATGCATAATACAATTTTTAACAAATTCAAACGGACGAAAAAATTACTAGTCTAACAACTATTTTGAATTCCACATATAGATTTTTCTGAATGGGGAACTGATTCTTTTCTTCTTCTTTTTTTTTTTTAATTTCAACATCATGCACGTGAGCTTTCGGGTCTACTGAACGCCACAGACGGGCTCTGGTCGGGCTGTGGGCAGGAGAGGATCATCATATTCACCACCAATCACAAGGACAAGATTGACCCTGCATTGCTTCGTCCTGGCCGGATGGATATGCATATCGAGTTGTCCTACCTAAA